ATCTCGAAAAATTCGTAAGGAGGGGTGTTCGTAACTAGAGGTACCACTGTATATCTATATTCTTTCTTTCATATCATTCATTAATGTCATGAACTTTACCATTCATTCCTCTTACATTCAATGTTGCAATTTTTAATATGCTATAGATACTAACTTCTGTCACCCATCATAACTTTGGTCAATCAAGCTTTTATATAATACTTTTTAAGAAGAGAAAAAGTATAAATTAGATTACCAGCCTTAATCATTCCCATGTGACATGCAGCATTCTCAGCTAATAGTAAGGACAATACTGGTTAGTTTTAACACATTTTGGGCAAGCTCAACCAAAATTAAATTCTATTAAAGCATGCTCATGGTATTCTAGGACCATTAATCTAGAGATTAACATGCAAGCCAACATGCTGTTGTCTGCAGTCTACCAACTAGGAGGTATGCGCACACTCGGGATCATTTGCTATACTATTTTTTGTAATGTGTATAGGTATGTATATGTGTGTATATATAGAGATGCTTTTTATTTATCAAGGGGCAGCTAAATGTATTGTTAAATGAGAAGTACCACATACCATATTTTTTTGAAGATTGAGAATAAGAGTTTACACAATGCCAGATGATTTTATTTTTGGTTTGGAGAACTGAGGTAATCAGTCCTTAGATACGTTAAACTCAGGGGAAGGGGGAGGTAAGGTTGATTTATCAAAGAAAAGGAAAGGGGAAAGAGTAAGAGAGCAAAAACTGTATTCATATTATTGTTTCTTTTGATGGATAACTGGTATTTTAACATTAGATGTAGTTTGAAACTAAAACCTTAGTCAGCAAGGCATTAAAACCGTTACCTTACATATGAAGAGACTAGAAAATGTAGAGAAATATAAACATATAGTATGATCCAATTTATAAAAAATAGGAAATCTGCAGTAATTGTGTTACATAAAGGACAATCTATTTATTACTTAAACATTCTTGATTTCAGAAACATTTATGACTAAACGTCAAATGAGTTGCCATCATATTATGTAATTCATTACTGTAAAATTATAGAGACTCTCAAAGATAAAAAGATAACTATGTTTACAAAACTATATTCAATGGGATCAAGGTTATGATAGTATACTTTATGTCCCAAATACATCACTTTTTTTTAAAACTGGTCATAAAAAATTGACTTCTTTGCAGAAGGTGAAATAAATTTAGGCAGAGATTTGAATTCAACTTTTGTCCTCAACTAGAGCAGGTCAGTTAAACATTGAGAAATGTGAAAACTCTAAATGGAAGTTTATGATTATATTGATATACTGTAAATTGGTGGATGTATGGAGAGAAGGATGTAATCATAGCTGTACATATTATTTGCACATTTACCAGTTGCACAGTACTGATTTTATCTTAGTATCAGCAAGACAGAATGATTGTTGTAAATATAGCTCAAATTAAAATAACATAAAAGCCATCCAATGGGTTCCAATGGGAATCAACTTTGCACAATTCTGCTCAACTACTGTCTAACCCAAGTGATTAGGGCTGCATCGTGCAATATAATCCAGGATTCTTTTGATCTTGTAGAATCTAAGAAATGGACAATGTCCTCTCTAGTATGAGTTCCACCACCTGGACCCAACCAGGAAAGGTATGGATGGGGACATATACTCCTTTGAGGGAAAGTGACAAATATCAAGCTCTGAAGGAGGCAGTGATATGCCATCTCTTGAAGAAACTTTCTCTTGATCTAGCCATATTAGGAACTTCTGCTGAGTCTTCAATCTTCCCTTTTTGGAGAAGATTCTTTTGGAGAAGTGGTGGAGAATCAGTTGCAGAGGATCCTAGATTATCTATGGATTATCTGACTCTCTTTTATTCAGGATTCAGGGATGGATATAGAATGGAAATAGTGGACGACTCTCATTAGGACCTGAATGGGAGGAGTTCTGGTCTTTTTATACCTCTCACCAATATTCAGTACTATGAACCACGATATCATTCTGGATCACCTGCAAGGACCTGAGGCACCCTCTAATGTGATTCCACTCCTGAGTGGATAGTGCTAGTCAATGGTCATAGGGGAGAAATAGTTGAGGATGTGGTTGTTCCAATAGGGCTCAGGGCTTTTCCCCATGCTATTTAACATGTATATAAAGCCATTGGGTAAGGTCATCCATTGGTCTGGGATGAGGTACCATCAATATGCTGATGATATTCAGCTGTTTGTTGCCTTCCAGGCTGGGGCAGCAATGCCATGGAGGTCCTAATTTAATGTCTGGATGTTTTTAAGAGCAAAATGGGTTCAAATTAGCCGCTAGCAAGATAGATGTACTATTCATTCATATACCTTTGGGCTGTCCAGAAACAATTATTTCAGTGATGGCTTTAAATGGGGTTGAAATCCCCATGAAGGAGCAGGTCCATGACTTGGAGATTCTCCTTGACTTGTGACTCCTGCTAAAACAGAAGGTGGAGGCCTCATTGCCAAGCTTAGGATGGAGCACCAGTTCCACTGGATAAGGAAGCCCTGACAAGAGACTCATTCACTCATTACTACGTGCCTCAGCTGCTGCAATGTGCTCTCCATGAGACTGCCTTTGAAAGTAAGTTTCAGCTGGTACTGAATGCAGTAGCCTATACTGCAGAATGCTGATAGATGACACTCAATGCTGCAGTATAATGCCAATTCTTGGGCCACTACATTGGTTACCGGTAGCCTTAAAGGCCCAATTTAAAGTGCTAGTTATTATCTATAAAATCCTTTGCAGTGTAACTCTAGGTTGTACCAGAGATCATGTTCTCCAAAATGCTTTTGCCCACCCTGTCAGATCATCTACAGAGGGCCTGCTCCAAATTCCACACTATCCAAAAGTGAGGAAATTGTGAGTTAAAAGCTATGTTAATCCATGCTTTTGAAGACCCTACCCCCAGATATATGCCTGGCCCTACTTCCCCCCAAAAAAGATTTATATGCACTGGAATATGATTTTAAAATAGTAAGAGTAACTAAATGAAAATACTGAGAACCAGGGTAATGTAGAGGTTAAGGTGCTGGACTAAGAGCAGGGAGACCCAAGTTCTAGTCCTTCCTTAGGCCCAGAAGCTGGCTGGATGATTTCAAGCCAGTCACTCTTTCTCAGGCCTAGACTGGAAAGAATCACCAACCCATGCTGGACAAGCATGGTAGATTATGGCCCACGATCTTCAACGAAAAGGCCTTTATCTTACAGTGGATCAATTCAGGCTGAGGAGCAGGATCAGGAAGAAAGATTCTACATTGTTCATTTTCTTTTTTCATTCTTTGCCTAGTACTATTATTGTTGGTGTTTGTCACTGTATGTTTTATTTCAAATAATGTTAATGAATAAAAAAGAAGTATAGAGGCCTCCTATGTAAAGTCTTTGACTTGACTCCATTAGTCATCAATGCTACCTTGAAGTACCTTGAGATTGCACTGCCAGAATTTGGCAGCAAAATGGCTAATTTTTCACTTAGTGACAGTAGCCAAACACTTGGTTGCTATCGGCTTGAGAGACTGGAAAATACTCTAGCACTTAGAACCATTTGAGAAAGGCTAAAATTGTTATCTGGAAGGCATGCTGTCTAATGGTCAGAAACAGTTATTTATCAAGTACCTTTAATCAAGAGTTGAACAGGGCAAGGGGCCAAGATCACAAGTAGGTGCTGCCATCCAGTGATCAGAAATAACAATGAACCAAATATCCTGTCCTAAAGTAGGGTGTAATTTCACTGGGAATGTGAAGGAGCCAAGAATAAAGATTCTAGATGGTGCCTGCAGCGATGTGCTCCCACTGATGAACCTCCAAAGAGGAATCCTAAGTTCAGAATGAATGGAAAAATTGATGTAAAGAAAGATGCGGAAGTCGCTTGGGGCACAATGAAACAATTATGTTACACAGTCCCACAAAAATATATGAAGTTACGCTAATGGGAAACATGAAAAATAAAACTTGGTATAAAAATGAAGTGAAAGGCTGTGATGAGGGGAGAAATTTCAAGATAGCAACGGCAGCTGAGAAAGTAATGGATAGTACATTGTCTATGGTGAGGAATGAATATTTGTCAGAAAAGAAAAGTAAAAATGACTCCTTATAAGAGCACGTTTCTGTCCACTTTGGGAAAGTGAAACCCTGGCATGTCAAGAGAAACATAAAGATAAATTGAATGCAAGGAATAGAGTATTTAAAATCTGTGGGGTAAAACAGGAAGAGATGGGATCAGGTTTGGATCCTGAAGGAGGATAAATTTAATACAAAAGTTAGTGACTGCAGAAACAATTACGTTTAGTAACCAGTAAGGAAATGTATCTCACCATACAATTTTCTCCCCAAACAGCTTTATCTACAAGAGCTGTGGGACTTACTTGTCAATGCAAATCTTCTCTACCTGGGGAACCAGGACCTGCAACAGCCTCATGATTGTCTGCAGGGGCAATTTTGACTTCCAAGATACCACCTGCAAAGGAAAAGGATCGCAGTTAAGAGCCATGAGTTTGAACAACTCAGCAAACCAGTATCTGACAGAAACACATTCATTCAGATGACAAAAAGCATCCCAATCTCAGTCATTGTGCACATAAAGTAATTACAACTTACTAACAATCCCAGAAGTGGTTCTGCAAGAAGACTTAACATTTCAGGCACATACCACCAGTCTGAGTCTAAGGCCGCTTCCCTATCTCCGGCCTTGCCTTTTCCTTTTACCTTCTATAGCACTTTTGGGCACATGAATGTGTGTTCTCATGGCTGCTACCTGGGCTTTGGAAGATGGAAGAAGAGGGACGAAGATTGACCCTCTAGCTGGCCATCAAGAGAGCATCAGTGCTTTTCTTTCAGATGAGGGAAAACAACAACTATGCAGGTGTAGCAGCAAAGCCACTCTTCCAATTATTCCTAACAGTGTTGGGGGAGGAAAGGGCCTTAGAGAATGAAATGGATTATTTCCTGTTCCAGGAGATGTTCCATTAATGGTTTCCCCTGCCATAGGGTGCCTAGCTCATTAATACACCCAGGCTTTTTATGAGTGCTTATATTCATTTTTTTATATGAAACGACTACCTTTGAACATACTATACAAACTTCGAACCCTGAAGCTTTCTGAAAAAAAGTAGCTATAGAAAATGATTGTTTGAGAAGCAGAGCAACCTGTTTATTATTTATTATGCAGGGAAAGGAAAGTTATAGATGATAACAGGAAGTATTATTCCATGACTTAAATTATTACATAACGATCCTGCTTTTCAAGAAGACAGAATCATCTGGACTTTTAACAACCAGAGTTTCAGCATTCCTCCTCCTTCCACTCTAATCAGTTCAATAGCAGCATGGCCTGATTTCTGGTCAGGTAAAATTCAACCCACAAATAAAGTGAAATACTTTTGAGCAGATACAAGTTGCCAGCTTCTCTTACCCATTCAGGAGTTGGATTCCACTGCCCAGCTGAGGATGTGCTGGACAGACGTTGCCGATCCCGCTTGGGTTGCGATGACTCCTAAGGACAGAACCCAAATACAATTGTTTATCCTTGTGCTACAATTTCTCTCTGTTGTATACTGCTACAAACAAAATCAAATATTGTTTAGTAAGGATCTCTTTTCCAGCTTCCCAGTCTAGGACTGAAAGAGAGGGGCTGGGCCAAAGTCACCCAGCTGGCTTCTGAGCCAAAGGAAAACTCCTCATTTCTAGTCCAGCCCCTTAATCACCACACCATGCTGGATCTCATTCATATGTATGTATCTGTATGTGTGTGTCTCACACACACACACATACAAACACAGAGGTAATCCTCAGGTTATGATGGCAATTGGGACCAGAATTGCCATTGCTGAGCATTGCTTCATAAAGCACAATGTCATGAGACAGCGTCACTTAGCGACAGCAGTTTCAGCAGTCCTGGTTGCCATTGTCAAGCAAGTATCATGCAGGTCATTAAGCAAGGACCTCATGTGACCACAACTTCCAACTTCCTGCTGCCTATCCCAATGACTTTGCTTGTAGAAAGCTGGTAGGGAATGTTGGAAATCACCATAACATGACTGCAGCTTGCTGTGACGTTGTAATCATGAGCCGGGTGCCAACTGCCCAGATCGCAATCACCTGACTGCAGGGATGCTGCAATGGCCAGAACTCCAAGGACCGATCGTAAGTCCCCCTCATTCAGCACCGTAGCAAGTTTGAACAGTCATTGAACAAGTGGTCTTACCCAAAGAGCACCTACACACACACACACACACACACACACACACACAGATATGTACACACACATACAAACAGACATATTATTTTTATTACAGGTAGCCCTCGATTTACAACCAGTTGGGACCGGAACTTCCATCGCTAAGCAATGCAGTTAAGTGAGTCACACCCGATTTTATGACCTTTTTGATGCAGTTGATAAGCCAGTCATGTGA